ATGTGCAGAGATCCCAAATTGCTGGGTTGGAATTTTGGTATTCCAGAACCTCAGTGGGATAATTTTGGCAATACAGTGGAGGAAGCATTCAACAATCCCTTATTTGCCAAATTGCACTATCGCTTCAAGCAGGAGGAAGAGATTGGTCGTGTCATGCACCTTGTGTCGGAACTTGTTTGTGACTTTTTCATCAAGGTGCTTCCCAAGTGGGTTCTTGACCACTCGATCTTGTGGGAAGAGTTTATGATCTTGGATCCAGACACAAATCTCCCAGCCTACAAGACTTCAGAGGCCGCCTTACAAGCAGAAAGGAATCCAGAGAAGTATCATACACATTTTGCTATGAACTTCAAGAAATTCCGTTTTTCTGCAAGAATTGTGTGGTATTTGATTGACCGTGACAGGAATCATTTAGAGAGTTTTCTTCACAACTCCAACAGTAGATTTGTGCAACATGCATGCTATCAACTTCGTGAGTATGTTCAGGCGCGTGTTGCAGTTTCTGATCCCTTGTATGAGATGATCAAGAAGGAAGAGTTTGAACGCCAATACAATTCCAAGTTTTTGGAGGCGATTTCTTGCTCTCGTGTTGTAGTTGAGCCTGTAAGTTCAGGGACGTATGAGCCATCATCGAAGCTGAACTTAAAGGTACTACAAGACATCCTGAAGGGTATCTTCAAGATCCAGAAGGATGAGGAGCTTGCCAGAGAACGTGATGAAGAAGAAGAACAGGCAGCTCAAAACATCTCAAACTTGCTGGCAGATGATATGGAGCTTGATTTTGATGATGATGATGTTCCAGTATGGCGCTCCATTGTCGACAAGTATAGAGGAGGTGATCAGGTGCTACAGGGAGAAGCTGTGAAGATTACTCACCTGTTCAGGGATCAAAAGGACAATGAGAAGGCGACAGAAGCTTTCAGTTCAGAGAGGACAGATTTTTATGAGACCTCAGGACCTCTTCCAAGAACCGAGGGAGAAAATCTTGTAGAGGACTTGCTCACCAAGGATGTTGCAGAACAAGCTTTTGAAGCAGGTGAAGAAGTTCCTCCTTATACAAGAGTCTCCACTATCGCTGGTGAAATCTATACTGGAAGTAGGACACTTCTAGAAGATGAGAATATGGAAGAGGAAGTTCCTGAAGAAGATCCTGCAGTTGAACCTGGAAAGGAAGAAGAAATATTTGATGAGAACGCAGGTGTTTTTCCTTCAGAGGAACCAAAGATGGAAGTGGACCAGGAGGAAGCCAAGGAAGAGTCAACACCACACTTTCTGTCAAGAGAGATAGGTGAGGACTCGACTGCATCGCACTTACCATCAGGTGAGATGGATGCTAACCTTGATGATACTTCAGGTCAGCGGAAATCTAAGAAAAGCCGCCTGAATAAGATACCTGATCCTCATTTTCATGAAGAAGTTCAGGATGATGCAACCATGGAAGAGAAGAAAGAGGCGGTGGAGAAAATAAAAGAGGTCAGAGAGGATGATGGAGAGAAGAAACTGGAGGCTGAAATGCAAGAATCTTTTCCATCTGAAGTAGTTGTTGAAAAGGATACAACAAAAGTTGACAATACCTATGAGTTGCATACTTCACCTTTGAAGTTGCTTGGAGAGCTTACAGGAGATCCAGGTATTGGCTTTTATCAACTATGCTTCAGGGAAACTCATGCAAGATTGCTGAATCATGTTTGTTTCAGAAAAGGTGAGATTTCCCATCCTCATTATCAGTCGAGGATCAACGAGAATGATTTTGTTCGATCCATTCGTAATATCTGTCCAGTACCTCCACCTGATTGTTATGAACATGAACCAGAGCATGATTTGAAGAGATTCTTTATCAATGATGATCACATCATTTATTTGGATGGCAAGTATCAGGTCGATCCAAAGGCCCTTGAAAGGGCAGGACATGCTCGAGAAGAATTGGAGGAGACGAAGAAGGAACTCAAGAATGAACTGGAATCATATGGTCCCAAGGGACCCAGTTGGGACTTTGTCACCTTCTATGAAGAGCTGTGCAGGAGGTTCCTCAAAGGAAGAATAGAAGAACCACATGGAACTAACCTATTGGCCAGCTCAGAGTCCTTGACATTTTTATCCTGGAACTATGGCAACATGGTTCGTGGTCAGAAGTACACCACACCAAGGTTTCTCCAAGGACTTGATAGTGCAATGAGGCCACGCAAACAGAGCGCCATGTCACTTCAGAATGAGCAATTTGAGAACAACCTTTTCTTCAACATGCTCTTCTTTTTACGTGCACATGTCGTGATTCTCCAGGAAGCTCATCTTCTTGTTCCTGCCAAGGAATTTATTGAGCAAAAGAATTGGACAGTTTGTTTCAATGATTGGGAGAATCTTGCAGTGATGGCTAGATTGGCACCAGGTGGATATGTCAAGATCATTGCTGGACATGACCAAGACCTTGGTCACTGTGAACAGCGTGATGTAACTTGGGCTATCTACGAGATTTGTTTTGGAGAAACAAGGCCTCGTCAAGATTTCAAGGATGCAGACTTTGAATTTGATGACTATGGTCCTGAGGACAAGCGTGTTCCACTTACTCGAGCGAACATGCATACCATCAGAGTCTGTAATTATCATGTTGATACACACCGTGCTGTGGATGCCCACCTACTGACAGGAGAACAGACAGCATTGATGCTTTACGAGTGTTTTGTCTATGAGGTGGACATCATTTCTGGTGATGCAAATAGTTTGGCCTACAGAATGTCTGGGTACAAAAGGCAGCCAATGGCTAACTACTATTACAGCACCATGCAGCATTGGATCCGCAGGTTTTCAGAAGCTCGTGTAAAAGCAGATCCTGGTATCAAAGCACCTATTCCCAGAACATTTTACAGTTCAACTTCACAGGTCCTCAAGAAGTGTGAAGTTTACTTTGATAAACTCTGGGAAGAATATTCTACTATTGAAAAAGAAGAATACCAAGGATCACAGCTTGGCGATACATGTTTGTCTACCATTGTTGAATGGGGTCATTCAATGAGTGAAGAGGAATATGAAAATTCCACAGTGAGCACGAAGGAGTTCATCTGTAATTTTTCAGAGAACTTTGCTATGATTGACACGGAGGTTATGTGCTCAAGGCCCACTGACGAGGACAGTCATGGTCCAATGTTTATTTCACTCAGACCAGCTTCCTTTTCATCTGGAGACAGAAGACAGTATCGCATGGGACCAACTCTTCATGAGGCGAACTTGCGGAGGAAGGAGAGACAGAAGCAGAATAGAAAGAAAGGAAGGCCGCCAACTTCTGATCAAGCAGCTTCATCGTCTGCAGCGGCATAATTCCTGAGCGAAGGCTAAAATTTTAATGATGGCTAGGAAGTGAAGATACTTCTGGTTACAGTTGATACTTTGCTTCCAGGCTTGACTTTAAATTGCCAGGCTGAAGTTTTAATAAACTCTGGTTTGCAACAAGGAGAAACTTTTTATCAAAGAAGATACTCCTGCATTCCAGGTTTATACGCTTTAGCATGTAGATAGGTATGGACAGTTTTACAGAACTGATGATATCTATCACCACCGCTCTTATGAAGTGACCTCTAGTGGACAACCAGTCATGGTTGATGATTAAGTCATTTCATGATTTGCAATTGTAGTGCAAGATTTTTTGTACATACATTTGCCGGTATCTCCTTCTTGTGTTTTTGATGTGAATGTGAAAGAGAGTCCTTTTGATGCAGTTTTATTTTGTCTGTGAATGAAAGCGGTCGAGACCACGTCACGAGAAGATTATTCCTCGGACCGTACGCTCCTTGCATTTTGCAAGGCATTTTAATTAATTGCATTTGTGCGGTCTTGAATTTTTAGTTCCTTGTTACGCGAGTGTCGTTTGATTCTTTTATAGGTCTCTGTAGAGAAAAAGCCGCTTTCCTTTTTAGTTTGATTTAGCTCAGGCCATAAAGAGCTAGTGAGCGCCGGTACATGGTATCTCCGCCTGTGAAAAGTACAGTCTCCAGCCGAGGTACATTATCGTTTTGATTTTGTACTTGAGGTGAGTCAGCTATTGCTCCCTCACTGTATTTAGTAGCTTTGAGATTACCTTCTCTATAGTGTGAAACACACTGGATTAGGTAAGTACATGGCACCGTAGTTTTCTTTTAAGTTGTCAGAGCTAGCTGGACTGTTTTAGCCTTGCAGTAGAAAAAGAGTATGCGACATACGCAATCAGCTAGGAGTGGACATGAATCTTGTGCCTGCTGAAAAGTAGAGCCTACCTGTACAGGGTTCCACTCCAACAGCCGATATAGTGTGTCCATGCTTGACTGCTTCAAGGCTCAAAGAGCAAGAGGATAAGACTCTGCGCATAAAAGACACTAGCGGTCTGCACCTCTACCGTGTACGCCCTAGTCACTCTTTCACCCCCTCCCCCCTCTAAAATCAATTCTCTCCTGGAGAACGTCTTCGTGAGCCTCTCATGATTTCAGGATAGTTGAAACCCTCTTGAACATTCAGAAAGAGTGAATATGAAATTCTAATCACGAAAGGTGTTCCCCGAGGGGATACATACCTAGAGTTTGTTTTGTGAAGCACGTCAATTCTCTCCTGGGGAGCGTCTTCGTGAGCCTCTTATGGTTTCAGGATAGTTCAAATCCTATGATGTTCCGATTCAATGCTCACCGATGATCTGAGCCATGGGGCAAGTTTGTTTTCCTAAGAATCTTTTTGAACATTTCGAGAGCATATGTTTGAACATTTAGAGTGCATATGAACATATATTTACGAAAGGTCGCCTCCGAGGGGATAAATCACCATGTCGAACATTGCATTTTTGTGTCTGCCTCTCGCGTTCTCTTCTCTTCCCGCTGTCCTACCTTTCGTGTCTCCCTCCTCTCAAGTCTGTGGTACATAGGGGATGAGCTATAAGGCTGTTCAACCTCTCTTGGAGAGTTTGGGACTTGGCAGTTTGGAATGATCGGGGACTTGATCGGGGCTCTCAGTGGCAGCCTGGTGCGCCAGCAGTCTTGACTCAGGACAAGGATGGCTACTCGGCGCTCTCCTTGGCCTCGGTCTTTGGGCATTTGCAGGTAGAAATGCACGGGAGGATGATTTGATGTGATTTGAGATGTTTTTTGCCAGTGTTTATTGCCGGAGATGTGCCAGTCAAGTGTCTTGTGCTGGTAGTCTCACCAATGAAAGGCGGGGTAGGAATTCAAGCGTACATATTGCTTATGTGTAGTACTTGTGTAGGTCTTCAATGAGCGTCCGCCTGCAGCGCCTCCTTTATGACTTAGATGATTCGTGCAAAGTCAGGTCCATCTACCTGGACCCTCCGACCTTCGGGGTGTCCTGGCTGGACTACCCCACACGACCGGCCGGCCTCGGCTTCCAGACAGGGCACCCCGACAGGAGGGTCCTGGTAGACAGATTGTTTCAATGTTTCTTTGGCACCACTGGTTGCCCAGCCAGACTACACTGGGCCTATTGGGCAATATGGCAGACTACTGCAGACAGTGACTGGGCCCAGACAACGCTCACGTTCAGCATGCCATGCCCACCAGATGCTCAGATGCTTGGCCGTGCCAATTGCACCGGCCATGCATGGCCAGTTTCACCGCTTGCTCGTGTCGTGCCCGGCATCGGCTTGCTCTTCCAGGCCTTTGCTGCACCGCATTTCTTCCGAATCAGTGTAACCCATGCCCGCCGTGCCTGGTTTAACCCATGCCTGCCGTGCCTGGTTTAACCCATGCCCGCCAACCCTGGTTTAACCCATGCCCGCCGTGCCTGGTTTAACCCCTGGTTTAACCCATGCCCGCCGTGCCTGGTTTAACCAATGCCTGCCGTGCCTGGTTTAACCCATGCCCGCTGTGCCTGGTTTTTTGGATTACCTGAACCCATTGGTTGGATTGCGTTGCATCCCTCATCTCTGGATTACCTGAACCCATTAGTCTAGCACAGCTCACGGGCCGGAAAGAACGCCCTCGGCAGGTGGCAAAGCAGTTGATCCGTGCGAAGGCACAGCTGTCCAAGTCCGATAGCGATGGCTTCACCCCACTCATGGTGGCCTGCGTGAACGACCATGAGGAGCAGACCACCTGGCATTGGATTCGATCCTTTTACATGTAACAAAACCTTAAAAGCACACTCATTGTGTCATAGTCTGAAGGCAAATCAACCACTCATACCTAGATCAGCCTGAAACCATTCAGGCAGAAATAACTGCCTGAGGAACATCTAGGTATGACTCATAGGGTGCAGATGGAGTATCCGACTGTTTTCGTTCGAGTCGATGCGCTGCTCGGGCGTTCCATGAGTCCGGCGACGAAGCAACGCCCGTCGCCGGTGGGGGCATGCGGGCAGGCGTCGATGCGGCGCCTGGGATTGGACAAGGAATGAATTGAATTGATTTGGTTTAAGGAAAGAATCTGCAGGAAACCCTGGTTTTCACCACCAAGACTGTGGGTTTCCTGCAGATGTTTCAAACCCAATTCTGGGAAACATGGGTGCTGGATGATGCTGGGGTCAGAAATCCCTCGCGTCCATTCCCTTTGGGATAAGTGAATGAGAAGGTCAGTCCACAGCATCGAACAAATGGAGGACCCCGCTGGTATTCGGTATTCAGAATATGTTTATCCACCATGATTGTTTCAAGCAGTGTCAGGAAAAGCCAGAAAGAGCGAATGTCTAGACGCTTGACAAGTCGAGCGGTCTGTGTTCTTGTTCCTCCGAATGATCTCGTTGCGCATCGCAGATGGCACCGGAGGGACATCGGCCGGTCGTCAGGACATCGCCCACGCCTTGATTCTGGCGCGTGCGGGCATGGAGCCTGGATGCCTGGGACCTTCGCCGGTGGCTGTCGCGTATGAAAGACCCTTGGGCAGACACTCACACGTGATGACATGACGCGAGGATGAGGCGAGGATGAGGCGATTCGATACATGTTGGACATAGTTTGACCAGGAGATTTTGTCACCCTAAGTGGTTCGGGGCGTGGTCTATGTCCCTTCTTCGATCCCTCCCTCTTTGGGTGGAGCACGGCACGTGTCCTTTCGCGGTCGGAGGATCGGGTTCGGAGCGAAGGATCGGGTGCCGCCGGACATGCGTCCTCCACCTCTCCTTTCAACTGAGTTCAACTCCAATCAGGAAATAAAGTGGTCGCGCTTGGAGAGCGAAGTAGAAGGGAGGGAGCTTCCGTTAGTAACACCGAACGGAAGGCACATGGTTTTCAAGCAAAGAAGTATACTTTACCATGGATCTTGCAAGGGACCCAATAATGTTTACATCAAGTAAATGTCTATGAACTGCATAATTGGTCGTTTGTTCTACTTGTTTGGGGCGCAATCTCGTGATCTGTAGGGCTGCCTCATTCTTGGAAGGATAGCTTTGTTGGCAGGTATTTATTTCTCATTTGGCACATATCCAGGGAGGCACAGCACATTAACACCGTAAAGGCAGGGCCGTGCGGACGCATCCGCCGGTGCCCTGGTGGATGGAAAGGATGGCATTTCTAGGACATGCCTGGCTTCGTCCACGCGCGACTTCGGATCATCCTACAGTTTACAGTTCTATTCACTTCTATTCCTTCCCGGTGGTTTGAGAGCGCTCCGGTGAATGGTTCCTGACGAGGTGCGGAAAAAAAGGACTGAGCAGCAGCGGTTCCTTCAGAACACAGGATGGTCCTACTCTGCTTAGATATAGTCGTTTGTTAAGAGTAAGTATGCTTGCCACAACTACTGACCAACTATATATATATAACTATGCTAACTTCCAGGGAAGTCCCTGCCAAAGACCTCCGCCCCTTCACTTAGACACTTGACCAGTTGAAAGCACTCTTTCACTTGTCGCGCTCTTTCACTTGTGGCCCCGTCCGAGGCAATTGCTTTGATTTGGTGAAGCAATTGCTGGAAGAACGTGCTGATGCCGCTGGGCATGGAAAGGTCTGCGCCGTCCGAAGAAGCGCGGTCTGCCCTGCGATCGGTCGGTCGCAGCGATGGGAGAAAGAGGGTGAAGGAGCAGATCATCGCTGGACCCATGAGAAGTCGGATCTTCAATTCATGAGCTGATGGACATCTGTAGAACCTGTAGAACTCCATGCATTATCATGTATTACATATCGAATGTATGGCAGATTCTACATTGGGGTGGCAAGCAAGCAAGGGGGCTCGGGGTGTCCGCTGTACTTGGGACTGAGCTCGCGGAGGCTTCCATGCAGAGGCTTTCAGGGAGAGTCGTCCGCCAAAAGCTTCCTCCCAGGAAGGGGCCTTTGGGGAAGAGAACTTTCTCTCCAGTGAGGGTGTTTTGATGTTTTTTGTTGATCCAGTTTTGCAGATATAGGAGATGGGTTTAGAGTTTGAAGCTACGGGCTTTGGCATGGAAACCATAGAGCACAACCATTCTTGGGGAAAACATCGTGCATAGCTATTGAAGTCAGGCAAGCTTGACTGCAATTAGCTTAACGACGTCATCATCGTCATCCATTGTTTGACCGGATGGGTTTCTTGGGATGTCAGCAAATTAAACATATTAAAACAAACTTGCAGGCGCGGTGGTTCATTGTTTTGGGTGCCTCCTGAGAAGGTGTTAGAGTGCCCAAATAATCAAAATAGCATTTGAACAGGTGCTCGGAGCCCTTGGCGACGGTGATCTTTTGACATTCTTCTATAGGTGGAGATTCTGAAATACAGTATTCAAGAACACCGCTTGAGTTGCACACAAGACTTTTCACTTCACAACCTCACAACCACTCGCCACTCGCCAGTCAGTCCCGCACTGAACTTACGCAGGTTTTTTTTTGAATGTGCCTGCCTTGTTGTTCTTTATGTTCGGCACGGCCTTCTCCGCCGACTGGAGGCGAATGCCGTGGACGAGCACGGGATGTCTCCCTTCATGTCGGCCTTCCAAAACGATGACTGGGAACTCTTGGAGTTCATGGTGCACCTCCAAGCCGACGCGCGGCGGCACCTGGTGGGCCACGGGATCCGGCCAGGGTGACACATCCGGAAGTCCGGAAGTGGAGGGTCTCCAGTCCCCTGGTGATGGTGGAAACTCGGAGGAAAATGGGAAAACATCAGGGCCCAAGGTGCCATGGGCTACACTTCCATGATGATTCCAGGTAGTGTAATACACTATAGTATGTGTTGATTGTTTTGGACCACGGGCAGGGGAAAGAGGTCGGGAGATGACAAGCCCTTTGCTTGGTGTGTGAGAGGCTTTGACATTCAGTAAATTCAGAGAACTGATGTCAAAGGTTGTTTGAGTTGTGCCAAAGAAATCCTACCCCCCTGCAGACTAACATCGACCCTGAAAATGGTTCTTTCGTTTCGACCGTGTCCTCCCCAATCGCTCGTGGTTTTGAGAGTCTGTGTGGTCCTTTACGGGTACGTATGTACTGGGCAAGTGCTTTGGGATACGCTGATGAAACGTCCTCCACGTCACTTCGAGCTCTACAAGAATTGAAACAGAACATGCTGTGTGATTCTGTTTTTGTTTTGTTTTTGCCTATGGTTGAATCCCCTTCCGGGGAAGATTCTGGTTCCGATTCCTTCAAATCCTGGTGCTATATCCGAGGATGTGAACCAAGCCTTGCCAGACCACCGCACTGCTTTGCTGGTGGCGTCGCAGCATGCAGATTTGCAAGCAGTGGAACTCTTGCTCTCTCTGAAGGCCATGCAGTCAACCTGGCCCAGCTGGGAGTGACATGGTGGATTGAAGGAAAATCCCTAAAGGAAAACTGCAACTGTAGCTCTGTGGGACTTGCTGCAGGAACAGTTGCTGCGAGAGTGAGAAAGGTTCTTCAGTAGGGTGCTGGATGTTTTTGCATCTCTTCGATGTGAAAGCTAAATGGCCCGACTTAGAGCACAGTCCGGCTGAACCATAGATGATAGACCTTCAGTGAACAATGCAGAAGTAGGAAAAGTAGGAAACATAGCGGCCCGCCACATTTGTTGCTCAAAAGAACCTTCGCAAAAAGAGACTGGAATTGTAGAGAGCCTGTCCTCCCGCTGCCTGGCAATAGATGGACTGGAAAGGCAAAATTCTCGCTACGAATGCTGCCGCTACAAAGCATTTGACAGGCGAAAACAGAGATAAGAAAGACTTGTTGCCTCTATAAAGCAGTGGTTCTTTATGGCAAGGAGCTACTCGTACTGTATATGTATACTTTGGGTTTGTCCTATTACCACTGTAACGGGCAGGTTTCACAAGCAAATCACGATTTCAGAGCTGGATGTCAGCCTGCAAGCAGTCCCCAGGTTCGGGCCCGGCACGTGCTCGGTGCGTCCGGAACCCGGGCTCCCGTGGGCCAGGCCGATGCCAACAGCGCGCGGAATGGGCGAAGCCCACTGAGCTATGCTGTGGAGTCGCTCGGAGCGACCCGCCCCGTCGCCGAAGAGCGGGCTCCCCGAAGAGCGGAGATGTTGGTTGGAGCCGCTTGGAGTCTTTAGGATCATACCAGTACCTGCTAGTTCAGTGTGTCTTTTTGCGTAAGAACCTATGGCTGGTTTCCTTCATTGGCAATTTGTAGTGATATGTAGTGTATACTTCTCCAAGGTCAGAGTGGAAGCCAGATACCTTGATTGACCTACCTGGAAGGTCAAGCTACATGGTGTTGGGGCGCCGCTTTTTGACCTGCATTGAACTTTACAGAACCAAGCCAAGATAGACTTCCCAAGCCCTTGAGCAGCCTTGAGCCAGCAACAGATGTCTAGTCTTCCGAATCAACATATGGTTAAGATGTGTAGTCTGTGTATGTCTGAGTATAGACCAGAATCGTGAAGCTGGGTGCTCAAATGGAGGTCGAGAGGAGAAGGAAGGGTAGTTTGTTGGTTATCCGTTGGAGAGGTCGACAGCAAGGTATTATTTGCCTTCCAAGCTCCAAGGGACTGGGTTGCATTGACCATTATCATGACATATCTCGCAGAATGCATTGGGATGGTTTCAGATATTTGCTATGAGTGTTTGGGTACTACAGGACTTAACTGACTGGAGGCTGCAGGCTTGCCAGTTAATTGTTCGAACCCAACTTCTTTTTTTGGTGATGCATACTGCAAACTGTTTGGTTGGAAATCATCTTGATGGTAGGACTTGAGGTACGTGAATGGGACTGCAGATGATCTCTTCACTCGGCATGTGAATGTATTGTAAGGAGTATACAATAATAAGACTGTTATTTGTTGCTTTTCCTCAGCGGGGGAAGCGAAGAAGGAGCCACGGACTACATCCATCACCTCCATACATCCGTAGCTGTGTTCTTTTTCCAAAAGCAGCTGGAAGCTCACCAGGTTTTGTATTGTTTTGGTTGGCGGCTAGCCTCTTCCAATACCCCTTGACATTGAGCCACACACAGAGACTAGAGGCTTCCGGGGTTTTGGAGGACAGAATTCAGACCCGGAGGAGAGCACCATTGAGATGGCTTCAGGGATCAACGTATATATATATATATTTTTATATAATATATTATATATATCCCTAGGGCTCCTGGCCCACCTCTGAGGAGATGGGCCAGGAGCCCTAGGGTAAAATACACCAGCAGTTCCAAAGAGGTGCCTATTGGAGGATAGGGGTTGCCAGAACATCCACTCACTGGATGGAGCGAAAGACAATTTTTTGGAACGGCTGTTGTATATTTGTATATCTCATATACATTCCATACATGGAGTATTTCCAGGGTATGATATGGCCTCTAAAATGGCAATATAGTTTTTGTAGATGCGTCCTGCCCTGTCAGTGCAGGTACCAAGATGAACCGTTGCTGCGCTCCTTGTTGGAGGCTCGTGCTACACCAAGCCAAGAAGCCCGTGCATTGGCGGCTTGACATGGGAAAGATGTGTTTTGGGGTGACAGGTGGGTACGGACAGGTGGAAACGGTAAGAACAAGTACCTGCTTCTTCAAAGTGACCTTTTCATCACTGGGCTTGAGGTCACGTTTCCAGGCCTGTAAAAGGTCACTTAGAGACTCCAAAAAGGTCACTCTGAAGAAGCTGGTAAGTTGTTTGTATCTCCTGAAACGTCTCGAAAGTCAGGTTTGGCCTGACTTTGGCTCGCGTCGGAAAATTCATCACATCCCCATGGCAAGGTGCGACATGCGAGGTGGTTGGTGTGCTCAGCTTTAGACCTGGGGCTTGCAATTTCCTAAATGGGTGTGGGGTTTAATGCGGGGACCCCCAACCAATAAGTGTTGGTCTATTTTCCTTCCAGTGGGTCTTTCGAAGGCCTCCCATGTTAAAAACACAGATAACTTGAGAAGACACTGCCAAGATGGGGGTCTTGGATTGAGCCACCACTGTATCACTTGGTTCATTAACTTCACCAAGAACTGGGGTCCTGTGGGACTGGGGTAGCTTCGATTAGTCGAAGTACCAACGAGACCAACGAGGCGTCCGATTTTCCGTCTCGCAGCTCGCAGTCCTGCGATTCGACCAGTTTTCTTCCAGCTACATCACAAGAACCTGGTTTTGCGTAAGTGTGTGGTTTTATCTTAAATCTTCCCTACAGCCTACAGGTCAATCCCCTTCTGGGAAAAAAAAACACATCTATGTGTTACAGGTTCCTCAAGAAAATCCCAGAGAACCAGCCTGACGAATGCCTCAAGGTGAGAGCTTCTGGCGGAGAGTGTTTGACCTGAGGCAGGACTGAGAGGGCGTGGCATCCTGTGACATCTGAAGCTGTTGAAATCCGAGGCTTTCGGAAAAAGTTGGCAGATGTCAGATAGCCAAGGCTAGACCATTGATATATACATATATATATTATACATATATATATATATATATCTACATCGATGGAGAGAGAGAGAGAGAGAGCGAGAGAGATGTATATATTATAGACCTGTCAAACTCCCTTAGCATTCCGTGGAATATGTGGATTCGTTGGGCAAAATTGGTTTCTACTTGTCTTTCATGCGTTCCAACATGTTCCAACCACCATGTCCCTGAGAACTGAGAACAACATGCCATAGGCCTACTATGGATCCAAGTCACCAGCTGCTCGACACTAACCAGTAAGAAAATGAACAAGCCTCTCGTTCAACACGTGGTTAGACTGCAATCCCAATAGATCTTCCCACGACAATAGATCTTCCCACTGCAATCCCAATAGGTCTAACCACGACCAACTTCATTCTAGATCTTCCCTCACAGAGGCCGCTGCATCCCACGGCTGAGGGGCTGAGTTTCCCAAGGCCCCGAGGCCGCCCAGCTCATCTTCAGACCCGGTCCGTGCCCCCAAACACCACACCGAAGGTCGGTGAAATTCTTCACGTGCAGGACGGACGTGTCTCCCGGCCTTGGCCTGGCAGTCGTACCGAACCTGAGGTTCGGTGGGACGACCGGGGCGGACTGGGTGCCAGGGTCGGGTCCAGTCATACCGAACCTGAGGAGGTACCACTGGAGGTGTAGGGTCATCCGATGTTCCCCTGCCATCAGGCCACGTGGCGGACCGCCGGAACGTCGCGTGGCTCGGAGAGCCCACCTGGCCGCGCTGCACCGACCGAGGTCCACCGCATCGGCACCGCCGGGTGACAGACCGTTGGACAACGACGCCCTGCAGCGGACCCGCACGGAAACGACGGCTTTGTGACACCGGCACAGCTGCAGCGCTCCGCCCAGCTGCAGCGGAGAGGGCCTTCCGCGCGGCCTTCCGTCGCGTCACCACGGGCCTTCCGCGCGGGTGACGCGGCAGTGCACGAGCTCAGCAGCTCAACAGCTCTGGTTGCACCGATGCGGAAGAAAAAGGGGCCGTTCCTGCTGGGGTGCGACGTGATTTTTGGTAAAAGAAGGACGGAGGTGATGGCGAAGTCTAGACAAACCAATGGCAGCACGAGTGAGGTTCATGGTTACAGTAGGAAGTTCATGTTGGAGAAAGGATTCAGGAACCATTTTGTTTGAAGAGTATGTTGACCCCACTCGCTGACTCCCCGACTCCAGTGGGGACAGGTGGGACGGGCCTGCACAATGTATATAATGCACAGATTGAAGGAAAGACTGGGTAGAAGGATGTTGATGGTTCTGGACTTGAGTTCCCCGTCTCATAAGTTTTTCACCTCTCATAAGTTTCAACATGGACTCTTTCGAGGTTCTCCCCTGCTGCTTTGTTAGTCGGATTTCCATGTCATTTCCAGGTCATGCCCTTCAGGGACCACTGGAAGAGTGCCCTCCCTCGCTCTCCAGGACTCGCAGGCAGCTCAACGCCGCTCAATGGTCCAAAGGTGGGCAGTTTCAGTGACGCCACGAGTGACCCGCTCATTGCGAAAAAGACCAGTGCCCCTTGGGGGCGCTGGAGTCCATGTATAATTGAGTCCATGTCTTGAAATGTCGATAAGATCAGATGTTGAACATTTGTTGTACAGTTGGATTCCACGGTTCTCGTTTCAGATCTCAGTTGGGAGTTATGTTCCGAAGTGTCCAATGTTCTAAGGCAGTGCTGTTGAGTACTTGGACGAGCGCCAATCGAACTACTTCACAGTAGAATAGATGGAGATAAACATGTTGTAGATGGCTTGCATTGCATACCATGTAGAATCCTGGAGTAGATAGAATAAACAAATCAGTGAACCAACCATACCCAATCCAATCCAAAAGCATGACCACCTTCCTATGTATTTATTGGATATTCCGTTCCTATATTATCGGATGGCTATATGTATGTGTGTGTTTTTCGATCCACCTGCCGGTCACCTACCGTAGAAATATCGAAATGGTGTTTCGTTGATTTCCGGCGCGTTCAAAGCGACGCAGCACTTAGACCAGCCGCCTTGCAATATTTCAGCCTCGTTCCATGGGAGGGCTTATTTGACTTTGCGTCTTGAGAAGCAGGTGAGGGATTGGTTGTTCGACATATCTGAGGTTTAGGATTCACTGGGGGACACGAGTACGAAACAGTGATGTGTTTGTCTGGAACCCACCAGAATCGGCACACATTACATTGGCTTTTTATAAGAACACCTACGACTACAATCTGGGGTTCTAAACAAGCCTCAATCAACAATCCAAGATCCAGCATTGAGTTGCGCCACCTCTGGAGTTAGCAACCTGGATCGTAGGGCCTGCCAGTGAGAAGGTGGTGTGTCCAAACCACAAAAGACGAGGTTCCTGTTGATGAAATAAGGCTTGCTGAGTGTGCCGCCGGTGTTTCGTCTTTGGCCAATGTGTCACTGACACTCCCTGTCACCAAGTGGATTGTGCGCACTGCGCCAGACACAGGAGGGGAGGGAGAAAGTGAGCGTGCAGAGAGAGGGCTCAATGTCACTTTCCTTTATTTTAGGTGTGTGTTTGATGGCTCAACATCACATGTGACTCTGGTTGTTGGTTAGGGTGTTCTCGGGTCACCCAATGACCTATGACCGTTTCATGGATCGTTGGTCTTCTAAAGGAAGGCTACGGTTGACTCAGCTTCTAGAGCACCATTGATTGGCAATCACTGATTCTGTAGTTATGTCGGTGCCCATACACTCATTGCTCTTTTTCCTATGCACCTTTAAAGGGGTCACCAATGGAAGCCCCTACACTGGGACCTATGTACCTTTAGAGGCAAGAAAGGGGCTGCAAGCTTCGCTTCCTAGGAGGGAAGGGCGATCCCACAACCTATGAGAGAAGGCTGTCCCAAGCCGTGGGCAGAGCGCACACCGGCAGTGACGGTCACACGGTCATCACGGTTCCATGTGTGCCAATTCATATCACTCAGAGCAGAAGTGAGACTCTTAGTTCACAGGTGGCGGGCAAAGACAAGGCAACCATCAAACAGCATGGTGAGTTGGAAGCCCCATGTTGCGGATTCCTTTCTATCACTTATTTTTGTTGCACCTCCACCCACCTCACCCACCTCACCCACCTCACCCACCCCCTGCAGCCCCACCTCCACCGGGCCCCTGTGCCTCCCCCCCGAGGCGGGCGGATGTCGCTCGACTTCGGGACGTGGGCGGCTTCCAAGACGTGGAGGTGGGAGGAAGGCAGAAGAGGAGGAAGCGGACGCACACGAGTGGTCAGATATTGTATGAGTTGTATGCCTAACTAGGTGATGGTTTCGGAGATGCGAGAATTTTCAACCCTTAGTTAGGGGATGATTGGACCCTCTGACTCATATTTTTTCAGATGTGGGTTGAAAACACCAACCAGATAACTATGCTGTGTATTGCTGTGTGTCTTTTTTTGTCAGCCCCATATGACATCAGATGTTGTTTTTTTCTGTGTGTACTTTTGTGGCATGGGTGAATTGGGTTCTTGGTTGGTGACACCGGTGATGAACCAAAGGCATGGTATAGATCAGGCCGATCAGGTTGTAGAATCAGCAACATTCAGGTGACAAAAGCGCCTTTGAACGCGTTTTGAACCAAACCCCAAATACCTTCTTAGGAGGTATTCGGAGCCCAAAGGGGAATAGCAAAGCAAGGCACATTCAATCACCCTCTTGGAATCTCCTCAACCTCTTCGCTCACTCGATCGGATGATGGATGGACATCCCTAGGGCTCCTGGCAGATCTCCGTAGGTTCGGTGGTATTCGAACCCCCCCCTGGCACCCACCCCTGGCCCACCGAACCTCAGGAGGTGGGCCAGCCCAAACGGGCATGTAGATCATCCTGTAAAGAAGCCACCCTGAGATCATTCTTCTGCAGACGATGGACTCTGAGAGGGGGACAAAACGGAAGTCTGACCTATGTTCCGAAGACCAAGCGGCTTTTCAATAGGGGTTCCATGTGTTCATCTTCAGGGTAGTCTTCAGGGTTTACTCCATACCCAAGAGTTACGTGTGGATCACCTGCAAAACCTTTTCGGTGTGGCAGGGGGTGGCACTCCACCCCACTCAAGCAAGAACCGGGTGGATCGAGGTTCTACCGCTTCACCCGGTCATTGGCTTCCTCGGGATCGATCGATCCCCTTGTTCGTCTTTTCCCATCGGCTTCAGACCGGGTCCACCTCAGGTGGAAGTGCGTGAAGGGCTGGCTCACGAGGCGACCCCTGGGCCAGGGGCACCAGAGGGAGGGAGCTTGCGGAGCTGGAGAGAACCACTCCATGGGGCTGGTAGATTCACAGAGTTGCGGCCATCAGACGGTGGCGCCATGTAAACCATTGTTAAGCAACTTCTTGCGTATGTCCGGGCTGATAGGCAGGCTTGACTTCCGAGGTCATTGATGAGGGATTTGCTTTGAAATTGGATGCCATTGGCCGGGTGCCATTGGCGAGTCACATGGAGAGTCATGGGAGCTTGGTTGAAAGCCTCCGAAACGGAGAATGGTATTGTAGCGGTTCAGACACGGAGTTGGAGGAGTGCTAGGAAAATCTGAAACGGTCGGCAGGCCAGAGGTTGGAGGAAGAGGGGCCAGAAACTGTATGATTATGTAGTGCTCTCCGACCTTCTAATATACTGTATATATATAGTATTTCGACCTGCCAGCTCTGATCGGACGTCGCCTGGCAGCTTGCAAGAGAGATTTGTTGAGGATTCAAGCTGAGGCTTGCAATTGGCCACCTAATGACATGAATGACAAGAAAGTTTGACATTACCGCATCCCCGATGTGATGAAGGTCAACCAAGGTTTGTCCGTCCTAGACTGTGATACATTGGCAGGCAGACACCCACCACAGTCACCACAGCAGCAGAAATCAAACATAAACCGGAGGAGACGGCGTTGCTGGAGGAGACTGCAGGATGTTTTGGCTATGACATGCTCTTCTTGTTTTCCTGCCGTATTATTATGTGTTCCTCACTGCGAAGGTTTTGTGCCACGTCACTGGAATGAAATGTCTACTTGACTGCCACAAGACGGATAGCTGTCTCCGGCAGGGGCCACTCTTTGATGCACCCAAGGCTAAGGGCATCACAAGGCGGGAGAGCAGTTTTGGGGGACCCATGCACCATGACTTCATGGACGTTGCCTCCAGGATGTATATATATATATATATTATATATATCGTATAGAAGACTTCCCCTTCAGTCTGACTGAAAAGGTGAACCAAATTCGCCGGGAGCCCGGCTAGGATCCCTGCCATGTGTTTCTATGACGATCCCAGAAGGTCCAAGAGATTCTTTTTGGAGTTGATACATGTTACAAGAAACATGTCTAAAAGCACTTCTGAAGACGTTTGTTTCGGGAATCCTAGCGGTCCAAGGCGATTGACGTCAGACGTCCAAAGTACCTTCTACTCCTCATATTCAGCCCTGATCGACAATCCGGGCTCTTTCTATGCTCCAACCTTTGTTTCGGTTCGGTGGGACTGGGATAGGTTTGGAGATGTCTAGAGGATCTAAGTATATAGCTTTTGGCATTTGGAGGTATACGGATGTAATTCCTTTTCACTGAGGATGCTGGAAAAGAAATCCTGTATCAACCCGGACCAGCTGGTGTGGGCAGAATAGCAGGATGTGGGGAAATGATCAGCAGTTCCCAGCTCCAGAGTCACAAGGAGCCAAAGGCGTTTGATGGATGAGCTTGTTTTAAACTTCCTCCAATCATGAGCCCTTGCAGTGTTTGAGCTCAAAAGAAATCTTTGCATCACTTCTAACTCCTTGACATTCCTGTGCGGAGAGACGCTTGCAGAACATACATGTAAGGGGCTGGAACACTTGTTTGCCACGCAGGGCGCCGTCGACCAAAGATGCTGACGTCGCCTTGCGCCGTCGGGGGACCATGCCACATGTTGGGATCGTTGGGTGGAAGAAATCTCTTACAGCCTTGATGTAGCATGATGGAATGCTCAAAAGAAACCAACACAATGCCATAATGATCCATAATGGAATTCCTTGTCAATAGTCCGCGTTTGATTCTGCCCACCTTTTACCTTAGTGAGCTCCAATCAGCTTTCAACCCCAAGAACCCAGACACTCCATGTGT